TATATTGAGGTGGGCATTTGCCCTCCTTGACTTGAGTGTGGATCCGCTCATACCCGGTTCCTGGACTACACTATTGCCTCTTTATTTTGCCAACATTTTAATTTGTTATGTTATAGATATTGTAATTGCATCATGTTGCATTAGCTACTTTTATAGCTATTCGAATGCACTCTATTTTACATATATTTGATAAATATTTTTCAAATCATCTTCAAATCAAAATTGAATGTTGTTCGAGCACTGCTCAAACACTATTTGAACCATCTTCAACCCATTTAGGGTTTGAATCTAGTTGAATAGTTCGAAACTTGTTCAATCATATATTTAAACTTTGCTAGAATAGGTTTTGAAAAAGATTTAGACATCCAATTAAAATCTCCTTAAATACTCTTTAAAATTATTCCAAATTTATGAGAATTTTATTCTATTCAAGTTGATTGTATGTTGTCTAAATCTTAAGTATTTTGAAGTAAAATTAGGACATATTTCTATGATAAAAAAATTACATGGATTTTCTTAATTGCGCTATTATGTGATATATAAATAAAAAATTTATTGTCCTCTCAATTATTTTTATTATAAAAAATAAGTAAGAATTTCCACGCCCAAACAAATAAAAACGCACCAGTTCTATACGGGCAATTCTCCAGGGTTTGAAAATCCAGTTCCTGATCTGCAATCATTCCTTCGAGGTCGAGCGATCACAAGAAATGGGAGGAGGCCATAGCGGAAGCGGCGGCACCACTTACAAGGGCTACACCCTTCACCAACCCAAACGCTGGCACGTCGTCACCGGCAAGGGCTTATGCGCCATCATGTGGTTCGCATCTTTCCTCTCTCCTTCCATCTATTACTTCTCATTCCAATTTCTTTCATTGCACTTCCAATTCAGTTTTTAGCCACAATAAGCTAAATCCTCTGTCGCCTTTACATCCGTTTATTTTTATGTTGTGTCTGGCATGTTGTTTTGGGAAACCCTATGTAGAAATCCCTACTATTGGCATTGTGGCAGAAACAATTTAGCTGATTAATACATAAATTTATTTTGCATATCATATGAGCTCGCGGCGGTCAAGGGCTGAACCCTTCAA